ATTTTCCCTTGATCTCGGATGATTAGGTTGGTCGCCTTCTCAGACATCTAATCTTGCAGGTGGTGATTTTGTGTACACAAGCTTTAGATAATGTCAATTTTTGGCAATGCCACAACAATAAAGGCATGATGCAAACACTAATTTCACATGAGAGAATCACTTCAGACAATCAATTTACCCACAGTCAAGATTTCTGAATATTCATATTATATAATGAATGGAAACCCACTGACATTTTGGAATGTTTCTTCTTCCTTACAAAATGGTATACAGCAAAGAGGACCTGACAAGTTTGATTAAGAAGATGCCAACTCTGGTTAGAGCGAATCTATAATATAGCAATATAGTTTATAAGAAAAGACTTACAATGTATCAAACATTTATGTGCAAACTGCTTTGCATAACTGAACAATCACATGGTCTTGAAAAGCAATCAGTTATATAACTGTGAATACCATTTAAGGTGCTCAGCGGCCAAAAACTTGGTGTTTCAAATCACTATACTATGCTTCCATAATGGTTCTGTGTATAAAAGATAAGACAAACTTTTGAAGTGCACGATTCATATTCTTTATAATTAAGAATAATATTCTATTTTTAAATCTCCTATTTTAAAGGCACTCACTGCAATATATAGGCATCTAAGTAGAATATCACATTATAGGAATATACTATACAAAACAGTATAAAATGTTCATATTGTAAAAGCATTAAGCACATTTGAAATAAAACAGCTAAAACATTGGGCATTTTTTTATACTGTCCTTCCAACAGAAATAGTTACTGATGTATACCGCAAATCATTCTAAAAGAGATAGTGACTTTATATCCTCTTCACAGACTGTTCAGAGATGATGACTCTTTATCCACTTTACTATAAATAATACTTACAGAGATGGTGACTTTACATCCCCTTCACAAATCACCTTTACAGAGATGGTGACTTATATCCACTTTACAAACCATTGCAGCCTAGATTACACTTTACAAACCATTCCAGCCTAGATAACACTTTACAAACCATTCCAGCCTAGATAACACTTTACAAACCATTCCAGCCTAGATAACACTTTACAAACCATTCCAGCCTAGATAACACTTTACAAACCATTCCAGCCTAGATAACACTTTACAAACCATTCCAGCCTAGATTACACTTTACAAACCATTCCAGCCTAGATAACACTTTACAAACCATTCCAGCCTAGATAACACTTTACAAACCATTCCAGCCTAGATAACACTTTACAAACCATTCCAGCCTAGATAACACTTTAGAAACCATTCCAGCCTAGATTACACTTTACAAACCATTCCAGCCTAGATAACACTTTACAAACCATTCCAGCCTAGATTACACTTTACAAACCATTCCAGCCTAGATAACACTTTACAAACCATTCCAGCCTAGATAACACTTTACAAACCATTCCAGCCTAGATAACACTTTACAAACCATTCCAGCCTAGATTACACTTTAGAAACCACTTCTACAGACACTGGGACTTTATATACTTTTTACACAGCCTTCCAACAGATATGATGACATTCATTTTGTCTCATTAATGTTTCATCTCATGATGAGACACTCATTTTACGCCATCAACGTTCATGACCATGTTAATTTTTTAATCTACCACGATCTTCACTTTGTCCTGTCAATGGTTCTATTAATTAACACATCTAAACAGGTGCATACATGTTTTCTCACTACAAACTCTCTGAAAAACAGCAGATTCATCAATATACAGTGATACCTTGGTGTACGTCCTTAATCATCTCCAGATCGCTGGACCAACCTGAACACATAACAAAAGGAGAGTTCCTTTCAACAACAAAAACCTTCAGAAATCTGAAATTCTGGTGACTTTTCCCCCTTCCTTTTTTTTTCCTGTCTCTTTTCCCTACCTGTACCTGGTTGACTTCTACTGAAAATCTGTCCAAAGAACTTTGCTCTCATTCAAGTTCCAACACATGAGTCTTCCAAATAAAGTTTGTATAAATACAAACAAAAATGTTTACGTCTAAACAGGACGTATTTACCAAGTTGGACTTATAAGAAAGCCTAGGTACCACTGTATTTTTAGAGGAAATAAAAACTATAAAATATTTAAACAAAGCACAGAAACAATGTGCATATGATACATAATACCAAAGGGTGAAAAAACACACAATCACATATTGCTCTAAATTTTACAAATTTATTGTTAAAAAGGTACTGAAACAGTTTCCAAACACCTCACAGACTAGTGTAAACTTGATACAAATATAAAAATCTGAGTACAGAATATCAAAAAGGAAACAAACAATGTTTAAAAAAAAAGTAAAAAAAAAAAAATTGGGGTAGCAGAATATCAATAGGCAGAAAGCCATCTAAAACGCTATAAAACACTTACAATGGGGCAGCTTACCCATATGGAGTAACATGTTAACCAATGTTGGTGAGGGGGGTAATGTTTTATAAGATCTAATTCTATAACAGTACAATCATACTGTTGTTAATTCCATGTAAGTGAATCAGGTTTAACCCTCATGATTGTTGTTGTTGTTGTTGTTGTTGTTGTTGATATTGATCCAGTGGCTCATGAGCTTTCGCCCTTTGGCCCAATGCCATGTAGTGGAATTTACATGTTTTCACAAGCGGTTCTTTTCCTCCGGACAGGGTGTTCCACCTGTCTGGTCTCGGAGGGAGTAGCATTCTTTTAGTCTCGCTGAGTTTTGGGCACTCAAAGAGATGATGGTCAACAGTTTTGTAGGGGTAGTTACATAGCTGGCACTCTGGGGAGCATGTGGCTGTATTCTGTTTAGGTGTCCATTGAGTGGAGCATGTTGTGTTCTGAGTCTGAAGATGGTGGCCTGGTCCCTTCTTGTTAAATGGTTAATGCTGTCGTTAGGATCAGGGATAGCCATGTGTCCATAAACCTCTCTTCCAGTATCTCCCATGATTAAATCAACATTGAAATGAAACCAAATGAACACTTGCAATGAAAGAACTCACAGACTGGCCCATTCTGCCTCAGTTGCAGACAGCCGGCCTATGGATAGTGCTGACATTGTTACTGCCCTTGGAGAGACAGGAAGGTTGGAGGAATTTGGGAGCAGAGTGCCCATATCACTGCTAAGAACTGAAGAACTAGGAGTAAAGATCGGCCCAGGCAGACTTTAGACTTGGCATACAAGAAGTTTTGTCAACCAGCACAGGACTGGCACTACAAACCCCTGGATGCTGATATATATGTTGAAGGGGAAATCTGAGCCCCTATGGACTCGTCCGGAGTGCTATGAAAATAACCAAAATAAAAACTCTGAGCTCAAATGAGCACTGAATATGGTTAGCAGAGCTAAACAAACAAAAGATATTGTCAAATTTTTCAACTAGAATTAAATTTTTTTTAAAACTACAGGGATACAACAGAAAAAATATAATAGGCAGATAAAAGTAGAAATTTTGTGAATATTTCATGATTTCTGCCATTGTTATTTGGATGTGATATCTCTCTTTCAAACTCTCTCTCTCTCTTTTGCTTTGTATTACCCTTCTGGGATTCCAGCCTGAAGTTTTGACATCCTGAGTGAGTGTGCTATTTTAGTTTTTAATTTGTCCTTTCTTCATATCAACTGAAAAATATGTTGGTAAAACCGGCCAATGCATGCATGAATTTTATTTACTGTTCCCTCGCCATATGTTGTATTCATATGTGGTCAGCATAAACATCAACTGTCTGTACTTCTGCTATAAGTATCAACTCCCTATGAAGTGGCTTGAAGTGGCAAAACCAAGATGAACTGCTAATGATTATGCCAAGATGACAACAAGCTTACAAAGTGATTCTGCTTCACACTGTGTCAGAAGAGAATCAGAAAAAAATACAACTGTGCAAATCAAGTACAACAATTTGCTTCAGCTTCACAAACTGCTTTGTTAGTGCACATTCAATATCAGTATTTGTAATTGACCGTATACATTCTTCATCTATCAACTTCTAGTGTGAAGAACGAACTGGTTCTGTCAGTGCTTCAGAAAAACAACAAAATTGTAAATGCACCATGATTAGGGCTTATTTTCCCGGTGGTACACAATGGTACATAGTAGAGGAACCTATTTTACTTTTCAGCCCTACTGTAATTTGACATTTTGTGGTGTGTACCGGCACCTTTTTCAGACATGGTGAGTAAAAGTATGGGACCCTTTCCACGCTTTCAGACATATTGGGCACATAGGGTTAGTCTTATATTTTGAGACTAATCGGCTCCTGGTGGGTGATGTGGTCACCATCACACCAGTCACCTTTACTTCCCAGGACTTTACCTGGTACCAACTCAAGTCTAGATCAACCTGCTGGGAGCCAATTTTCTATTAGAAAAAAAAGCCAGCTATTTAAAAGTTTATAGCTATAAATTTTCAAACAAGTGCAGACAGCGGGGTCAGTTATTTAGTAGTTATTAATTTCATAACTAAGATAACAAGCTATACTGGGTTATGTCAGAATCTACAGTTTTGAGTATTTGTATGTGCTTTCTAGTGACATGATGGACAAAGTGAGATTTAATTACACTTCTTACAGAGAAACACATTACAGTAACTTTATATGTGAATGTATTTCGATGGAAACATGGAAGGTGAAAACAAACAGTGACAGGAATAATCTTATTCTTCCAAGGAGTCCAGCAATGTTGTTATACTGACAAATAATATATTATTTAAAATTTATTTATTCAAAAGTCAAAGATTTTACAAGAGCTTCTAAATATTAATTCTACTGAATTATACAATAATTCATTCATTTTAAATGTCAAAGAAGAAGTCACTATCGTTAGAAAGTTGTTGGTCTTTCATGATCTAATATACAATTGTCTTTCCTAATTTTTCTAACGTATAATATCTATAATGTATAATCTATAAAAGAAACAATAAATATACAATGGTTTTCCTTTTTAATTCTGAAGTCCAACTGTGATACAGGCATCTCCCTTCTATCAACATCCACTGACTCTGCATTTTATTTCACAAACCCTTTCAACAAATCGATGGGCAAGGGGAAGATAATTGTGGAGTTTTTCTCTGCAGAGATTGTGTTCAAGGTCTGCAGGTAACGCAGCTGGATAGCAGCCGGGGACTGACTTATGATGTCTGCAGCTTCCTTCAAGGCTTTCGATGCCTTCTGTTCTCCTTCTGCGGCAATCACCTGTTAGTAAAGTCAAAATGCTCAAACATTTTCAATAATGATTCTAAAGCTACAATCAACATCCCCAAAACCCCCCCCACCAACCCAAAAAAAAAAATCATATGCAATAGTAACTTTCTGAGTTCCAAGGAGCGCATGACTCGCTAATCAGTTACCACCCAAGTGGCCAATCGGCTTGTGACGTGTACTGGTTCTTAATTTACCACTGGCCAGTATGACAAAGCAAACAGGCAGTTTTGAACAATGCAAACAGGCAGTTTTAAATGGTATTTCCTGTTCTTTGTGTTCAATGTCCTACATGTTGACCATTAGGCTTATTGGTAAACATGGTGAAAAGCATAAAATGTAGCATGTTTATGAGCTTCGCTGAATTACTAATTGTGTATGTGAAAACAATATGGCTTCTAAACAGACTTCTTCATGTATGTCAACACAATTTATGACTTTGGAAGCCTCAAATTTAAATAAAATACAAGTTTATCAAATTTATCTGAAGCAAGACAAAAAAAAAAAAAAGATACAAAGTAGACTTGATTCAGTCATTGATAGAAACTGTACTGGCTTTATTTTATGCATCAGATAGTTGAGCCTACAGTGGCCTGTACTTAGAGGGAAAATTGTTGTATATTATTTTCTGTCCAGTCTGTTGATGGGGTCTTGTGGATGTTTACTGTTGGTTTGTTTTCTCCAAAATTCCTTGTATTTTTTCTTGATAAGTGATTTCATTTCTGGCAATGACAATGAAAGGGTGTGTTGTCTCTCTTTTGTTCCATTTTTTAAAAGTGCGTCCACCTACTAATTTCTTGATATACTACAATGGGTTGGGATCCAGGAGAATGATCCTAATTGGTTTTTTTAGAGAAATTTATTAAAAGTAATGTTTAGGCATCTGATTTCATGTGTGGGGGTGGAATGTAATTTCATCAACAATGTCTAGATAATCAAGCTTCTATTCTAGGGTAATGAATTTCATTTCTGTGGCAGTTTTCTGCGGTAAGAATTAAAAAAGAGGTAACAAAAGGTCCCATCCCCGTTGCACTTGTGCTCATATTTATCTGTCATTTGTCCACTGTACTAGTACTGTCCAGCTGCTGCCCCGGTTTCCACAAAACATAATTTCCAGAAATGTTCTCGTTGATTTTCTACACCAGTTGGCAAGCCACATGATGATCACAATGATCACCATATATGAATACAGTTATGCTCCTCTTTTAACATGCTGTGATGTTCTGTTCATGACCTTTGGTTTAATTTCTTTTTACGCAGGAGTAACTAACATGGCTTATATAACCATAACACTAATGTGTTTTGTAGGAACATTAACAAAGTAGACATAATGCATGACAAAACTAAAGACAAAATACTGCACCTTAGCCCTGGCTTCCCTTGAGGCCTCTGCTTCGGCTGCCATAGCTCGCTGCAGCTGGACTGGGAGACGAACGTCTTTCCTGGTTAATGTAAAACAAGCAAACAATTTATTTAAATTGATCCACTCACCCCCGGGAATGCAAAACTAAACAAATAAACACTATGATGACTCTGGTAAAACTCCAGAAAAAATGCTGTAAAAAGTAATTTTAGAGGTCACTGATATATTTGTAACCCATTTTGTCCTATAGTGTTATCACTTGAACCCGCTCTTTCTTTAACAATCAAACCCTAAGGATATAATGTCTTAAAGTTATGCCTGCCTAAGGCTGAAAAGTTAATAATAACACCTCAGTGGATTCTGTAAGACATATACACAAATTTGTTATAAATTAATAAGATTTCTGAGTATGTTATTTAACTTATAGAGATCATTATTCTATTTTTCTGCCTTGTATCCCCTCAATGGAGCATTGGGCCTCAACCAACTTCAATCAAGTCATTCAATTCTTTGCTATTGCATTAGCTCACCTCATTTATCTTTTTTATAATGTTTCCTTTATCTTAATACATCCACTGTCCTTCCTATATATAACACAAGGTTCTAATATTCCAGGTGCCAATTCTGGAGATCTTCCTAGGTGAAAGGAAATGATCCAGACTTTCTTTGGCTTTCTCATCATTTTTCTATTAGAAAAGCCTATACTTTCTTGACTACCTGGGTATTTCTTGTTTCTCTCTTTGACTTTTCCATGGTTGGCTGGTTTTTGTGGCTACTGTTTTCACAGGATGAGGTGGCCAGCCTCAAGCTTAACTTTATCCTTATTCACCTTTTACGATATGCCTGGCAGGGTACAGTGTTACTTTTCTTTGCTTCATGCGAGGGTCCCGGTAAAACACATGGGCAACAGATCATTACTGCTAGAGATTGTTTTTAACTATCTTTGATTCATCAAACAAAAACTACCATAAGCCTACTTACACTTCAACACGTTCAACCTTCACACCCCATGGGTCAGTTGCCTCATCCAGGGATCCCTAAGCAAAAGAGAAACACAAACATATTAAATGGATTGTGAAAGGGGTGTCAGGATGATTAGTTAGTCAATGCTCTGTAAGTCTGGTAAGTTGGTAAATAAGGGTGAATGTTGTAACGCACTGACAGAACACTGGTATCAGAAATAGAGGTGAATGTTGTAAAGCACTGACAGAACACTGGTAGCAGAAATGGGGGTGACTGTTGTAAAGCTGGGATTGACAGAACAATGTTATAAAAAATAGGTGCGATTGTTGTAAAGCACTGACAGAACACTGGTAGCAGGAATGGTGAGACTGTTGTAAAGCTGGTATTGACAGAATACTGGTATCAGAAATAGGGGTGATTTTTGTAAAGCACTGATAGAAAAACTGGTATCAGAAACGAGTGATTGTTGTAAAGCATTGTCAGAACACTGGTATCAGAAATAAGGATGATGCACTCAGACTTCAAAGGAAGCTCCCCAATTAGTTGACTCTTATGACATGCCTTTGGGGAGGCAGTGGGTCTATTCTTGTTTTCCCCACAATGGGGCCCCGGAACCCACACAGGGGGGAAGGGGGGGACAACATTTAATCAGATATGCCTGAATCTCTATGGTCGGAAGGAAAAGGGGGGGGGGCATGGATAGTCTGACATCATGGCATTGCATGTGACGGAATACTGTGGATGCTCATATTAACAGCCATTATGCGGAGAGAGACCAAGCCATAAGGCATCAAACTGGGTGCGGTCAATTCTCTGGACTTTATCATTTGGTTGTTGTTTGTGTTGGCGGGCTGTAAACTGTGGCAGAAAGAACTGGTTGTTCGTCCATTTCTGGACTTTGGCTTTGTTCCAGGACCTGAATTTTGCGTGAGCATCTGTTTTACAGACTGGTGGTTCCTTGCCTCTCAGGCAGATGCACTCCAACTCTGAAGAAAGCCCCCAGTTGGTCGACTCTTACCACATGCTTGCTGGGGAGTCTATTCTTGTTTTCCCCATCATGGGACCCTGGGACCAACACGAGGGAACAACACGAGGGAACCTCCATTTTACTTCAAGTCATGATCACCAACACCAAACTTTATACAAAGAATATTTCTAACATGTTCCTCTGTGTTTGACAACAAACAACAATCAGACACTCACCTGCATGATGTGGCTGATGTTCTCCCTGTCTGACAGGATCTCGCTGAGGTTCTTGGTACCCAGGACATTCCTCAGGGTGGTGGCTGCCAGCAGTCGGGTAGACTTATTAGAGTCTTCCACACTGGTGATAGACATGGCGGCATCACTGACACGGTAGTACACCACAGCATCTACTGCAACTGTCACAGAATCTTTGGTCAATACCTGAATGATTCCATTACAAAAGTTACATTCATTAAACAGTGGAGAATAATTTTTAAATTACAACTCACATAAAAGAGTATGTAATTAACCCTCAGGGTCAAAACTGCATTTCCTTCCATTACTAAACCTCAAGGAGCTTTTTAACCTGCACTGGTGAGTCCCTGAGATATCTAGTAGTTAATAGCATTGGTTTTTTTTTTTGCATCTGTACAGTGATCAGAAGGACCGGGGTATGATTATATTTACTTTTTTTTAAAACACGGGGGGGGGGGGGGAAAGGTGGCTGGGTGAGGGGTTCAAGTGTGAAAGGAAACTGGGATAAATGCTTTTTTTTTTTTTTTTTTGAGCCATAAGGACATCATTACTCTCGCTTAACCTTTAAGCCATGGTATCAGTCACCATATGAATGGTATTTTGTTTTAAGTCCAAGGGACTGTAATCATTTACTTCTACACACAGTGAATGTTTTATGATTACTCCGCCTTATGTCTTGAACAAAAAGTTTAAATGTAATTTAATTCCCAGGTTATGGCTGTTTCCTCCAAAGGATGCTGGGGCAAGAAGGTTAAAGTATGGGGGGAATCTATTTTTGTAGCAGTCTTTGTTCAATACCTGAAGTATTAAAATCACACCACCATCTTCAACTTCCACTTTTG